GGAAAAATGAAGGGGGGGAAATCGGAGGGAGAGATGAACCATGAGACTCTGGACTCTGAGAAACAAACTGAGGGTGTTAGAGGGGAGGGGGGTGGGAGGATGGGTTAGCCCAGTGATGGGTATTAAGGAGGGCACGTACTGCATGGAGCACTGTGTGTTATATGAAAATAGTGAATCGTGGATCACTACATCAAAAACTGATGTATTGTATGGTGACTAACATAATAAAATAAAAATAAAATAAATAAAATAAAATGAATATATCCATCATCCCATGATGGTCCCTCATGCCACTTTATAATCCCACCTCATACTACCCCCCACCTCACCCCCTGGGGCCTAGGCAGCTACTGACCTGCAGTTTCTTTTTCTTTTTTTTAATATTTTATTTGTTTATTCGTGAGAGACAGAGAGACAGAGAGGCAGAGGGAGAAGCAGGCTCCCTGCTTTCAGGGAGCCTGATGCAGGACTCGATCCCTGGACCCTGGGATCATGACCTGAGCTGAGGCAGACACTTAACTGACTAAGCCACCCAGCTGTCGCTGACCTGCAATTTCTATAGATTACCTTCCTTGTATTTTCTGGAAGTTAATAGAAATGGAATCATGGAGCATGGAATCTTTTTTTTATCTGGCATACTCCAAGCATAATAGTTTTGAGATCCATGCTTGTTGTTTTATGTATCAATAGTTTATTCCTTTTTCTTGCTGAGTAGTATTCCACTGTATGGCTATAGCACAACTTGTTTATCCATGCATCTGTGGAGGGACATTTGGGTTGTTTCCAGTTTTGGACTCTTACAAGTAAAGCTGCTCTGAACATTTGTGTCCAAGTCTTTGTATGGGTATATGTTTTATTTCGTTTTGTTTTCACTTGGGTAAAATGCCTAGTAGTGAAATGGCTGAGTCATATAATAAAGTGTAGTGTTAACTTTTTGAGAAATGGATAAACTATTTTCCAAAGTGGTTGTGCTATTTTACATTCCCACCAGCAATGTATGAGAGTTCCAGTTCTTCCTCATCCTTACCAACACTTGGTTTAATCAGTCCTTTTAATTTTAGCAATTCTAGTGTGTATGTAATGGTAACTCCTTGTGGTTTTAACTTGTGTTTTCCTAATAACTAATGCTGTTGAACATCTTTTCATGTGTTTGTCATCTGTATGTCTACATTAGTGAAATATGTGTTCAGATCTTTTGCCTATTTGTTAATTGAGTTGTTTATTTTCTTGTTGAGTTTTGAGTTCTTTATGTATTCAGGATACAGGTTCTTTATAAGATATGTGATTTACAAATATCGTGTCCCAGTATGTGGCTTATCTTTTCTTTTCCTTATCGATGTCTTTCAAAGAACAGTTCTTCATTTTGATGAAGCCCAACCCGTCAATGTTTTTCTTTTATGGCTTATATTTTGTTAATATATCTAACAAATCTTTGCCTATCCCAAGGCCAAGTCTTCTAGGTTTTCTTATGAAGTGTAATAGTTTTAAGGATTTTTTTTCCTTTTCTTAAACAGATTTAATTAATTTATTTATTTCAGACCTAGAGTGCAAGAGTGGGGAGAGGGGCTGAGGGAGAGGGAGACTCTCTCAAGCAGACTCCATGCTGAATGCAGAACCTAATGCAGGGCTTGATCTCACGACCCTGAGATCATGACCTGAGCCGAAACCAATAGTCGGACACTTAATCAACTGAGCCACCCAGGCACCCAGTTTTAATAGTTAGGTCTCTATTCCATTTTCAATTTTTTATAGGGTACAAGTATGGATCAAGTTTCTTTAAAAACAGTTCATGTGAACTTAAGTTTTAGAAACACTATGGTAGGATATTTTCTCAAGAAGCATGGCTATAAGGGAGGGAAGTGATAAAGTGATAAGTAGTAACAAGAGGGCATAAAGTCAAGAGACATTAAAATGTTTTCTATTTATTTGTAATAGGAAGAGAATTAGATGTGGTTTTATTTTATTTATTTTTATTTTTTATTTTTTTAAAGATTTTATTTATTTATTTGAGAGAGAGAGAATGAGAGAGAGCACATGAGAGGGGGGAGGGTCAGAGGGAGAAGCAGACTCCCCGCGGAGCAGGGAGCCAGATGCGGGACTCGATCCCGGGACTCCAGGATCATGACCTGAGCCGAAGGCAGTCGCTTAACCAACTGAGCCACCCAGGCGCCCTAGATGTGGTTTTAGATTATAGAGATGGAGCCGTTTAAGAGAAAGAGATCTAAAATCCAATAAAGTTTCATCTTGTTAAAATTGACCATACCATCTTATCACATATATATATTCCCAGTATCAAGCACAGTGGCATGCACATAGCAGGTGTTCAAGAAAATGTTTTGGAATGAAGGAAACAATTAAAGAATTAATGCAAGAGGATATGGAACCAAGAGTATAGTCATTTAAGGAGCCTTGAATCAGTCTCAGTGAGTAGAGGGAACAAATTCTCAAAAATAGGCAGAGGAAGATAAATATGTAGATAAGAGGGCAGGAAAATCAAGACGTTCATACCCCATAGCCTTGATTTTTTTTTTCTTTTAATTATGAGGCAAGGTTTTATCTGCTGGGGATGGAGAGAGGGAGACGACCTAACTTGCCCACTGAAGTGTTGCAATACCCTCACATGGATGAGGAGGAGCACTGACTATGTGCTGAATTAGGTGCCTTGGCAGACACTGTATAAGATGGGATTTCTGTCTATTATTCAGTTATTAATGTATCTACCATGTCAGGTAAGAATATTTCCCCTGTACTCCAAGAGATAAAAATCTCACCCCAACCAACAGAATAACATTTTAATACCAAACCCTTTGGAAAGTTCTTGGGGTTAGTGAGGGGTTGCAGGGAGGCATGTTAAATAGGGAATCCTTGCAGAAATGCCCCTTGCATCGCATCCTGTAGGTGACTGTGTCAAAGTTTGCTCTAGAATTTTGATACTTTCCCCTTTTCTAAAACTATTCCTTGGGTCTAATGAAGGCACTTGTGAAAAGTGCATTTTCTGATTATCATGTCCCAGATTCCTACTTAGAAGCAAGAGTTTTCTAATTTACAATTCTCTTTCATTTCTCTTGAACTCTTCCAGAATCCTCTGCATGGAGTTGCGGGGCCAGTGCCTTCCACGGACTCCAAGAAAATCAGGGCACATCCTTTGGGAGAAATGATGCCATTATCTTACACGATGGAAACTTTCCTCTGGGGACCTCCCCCAACACTGAATCTTGGCTTGGCTTTTGCAAAACCATACCCAAAATGCTTCATTAAAAAAAAAAAATTAAGATTAGCAACATTCAGTATTATTTTCTCATTCCCTCTTCTCCCTATACCTGTTGTCTTTCCCTATTCCTGTTGTATGTGAACTTCTTTTTCTCACCAGGAGATAGCTGAGAATAGTCATTCAAATAAACATATCGATGGCATTCTAAAATTATGAATTCCACACTAGTACACCACATTGACATGTATCATTTAGAAAACACTATTTTGGGGATGTTATGACTGAATAAATACATGTGTCTTATTGTACAAAGATGTCACTCCCCTACCTAAAATCTTTCAGTAACTCTCCACCAGATTTAGAAGAAAATCCGAAATTTCCTCATGGTTTACAAGGCCCTCGGTGATGTGGCCTCTCCCTCTCAGACCTCAGTTCCTCCCACATATGCTCCAGCCATAGCCTTTGTTCTCCTCCAACACACCAACCCCATCCCACCTGCAGCCTTTGCACTTGCTACTCCCTCTGCCTGCCACATGGCAGTCTAGATGCTCAGGGACCTGCCTGTTTCTCCTTTTTGAGGTCACATCTCATTCCAAACCTTGTGGACTCTACATCCAAAAAAAATCTCTTGAATACATAATTTTGCCTTTGGACCAAAAAGAGTCTTTGCCACATCTCTTGGCTTACATTTTTATCATGGTTCCATGATTGTACTACTTTTGTCCCCCTATTAGGCCATATTCCTTCATACCTCCTTACCTTTTGCATGTATTTTCTCTGCCTAAAATCTTTTACCTTTTCTTCACCTGGTTAGTTTACATGCTTCTTTCAAGACAGCTCAAATGCCATCTCCTCCCAAAAGCCTCTCTTGATCTGTCCCCTGCTCTGAGGGGGAGTTTATTTAACCGAGTTAAATAAATGTATTCTCTGTGGTATTATAATCATGCTAACTTGTCCAAATGTCCTAGATGAGAGAGCGAACCAAACCACATGCTTCCCATTGATTGTGATATGGGGGTAACAAAGAAGTGGATGCCCCACTTCCCGGCCTCCCTCGCATCTTGGGGTGGCTACGCGGCTAGTTCTTGTCAATGGAATGTGAAAGGCTAAGGCCTTTAAGAAGCAGGCATACCGGGGCGCCTGGGTGGCTCAGCCATTAAGCGTCTGCCTTCGGCTCGAGTCACGATCCCAGGGTCCTGGGATCGAGCCCCGCATCGGGCTCCCTGCTCTGTGGGAAGCCTGCTTCTCCCTCTCCCACTCCCCCTGCTTGTGTTCCCTCTCTCTCTCTGTCAAAGAAAAGAAAAGAAAAAAAGAAAGAAAAGAAAAGAAAAGAGAAAAGAAAGAAAGAAAGAAAGAAAAGAAAGAAAGAAAGAAAGAAAGAAAGAAAGAAAGAAAGAAAGAAAGAAAGAAAGAAAGAAAGAAAGAAACAGGCATACCTCCTCCATGTTCTCTGGTTTTCTTCAGGCTTGATGCAGATGATGGTGGGGCCACAGATGGAAGGACCTGGCCTTCAAACTGGAACACCTGCCCTGGACAATTATGGGAGAAATAAACAACTTCAAGGAATCTCCAGCTTATTTTGTTGTAAAGAAAAGTTGTTAAGAAGAATGCAATACCAAAAATAAAAGAATTGGCTTATAGGCAAATCTGTGGAAAATAAGCCAGTTGAATTCAATAGCATCTGATCCTGTTATGGGATTTCTGGTTCTCGTATACAAAAAGATTCAATAAGCTTATTTAGGTTGTTCCAAAATTTTTTTTAAAAGATCTTATTTATTTATTTGAGAGAGCAAGCATGAGCAGGGCAGAGGGGCAGAGGGAGAGGGATAAGCAAACTCCCCACTGAGCGCAGAGCCTGATGCAGGGCAATCCTGGGACCCTGAGATCATGACCTGAGCCGAAGTGAGATACTTAACATAAACAACTGAGCCACCCAGGCGCCCCTAGGTTGTTCCAATATTTGAAGAAGTAAAGAATAAAGGTTTGGATGACTACAAAATCTCTAAATATATGTTAAAAATTTAACTCAGAGCTGTTCCCTATCCATTTACTTTCAAACAACACCTTAGAATTGTTTTAATCCCATTATTGTTGAGTGGTCAGGGAATTCAAGACACACATGCATTCAGAACATTATTAATTTAAATGTGTAATTACCAGAAATTATCCATTTGAAATAATGTTGCTGTGTTCTACTAAATCTGTCATTTAAAAGTATGTGGTATACTAGCAGTTTTATAGCACTGTAACTGTTCAAATAACTTGAGTGGTATTTTGAAAGAGCAAACTTAAAACAGTAGAGTTTCATGAGTTCAAATCATGGGATTTTGAAAGAGGGAAAGAAACTTAGTGGCAACAAAGGTAGAAGGAAGAGAGGAAGAAAAAAGGAGAGGCCATTCTATTTAAGGAGGTTGTTACTTTGCAGGATCACGAGAAGATCAATGGTACTCAAATTTGGGGAAATTGGGAAGAAGGAAGCAGGAGGTGGGTGGTAAGGGAAGATGAATTCTTTCTGATGCACACATCACATTTCAGACATCATCTGAACAATCACATAGGGAACATGAGTCAGTAGGTGACCTAAGTCTAAATAAAGAACAAAAGGTCAAGGATGGAGAAGGAGGTTTGATAAAACCTTGGATAACTTCAAGTAGAGGAGTGGTGGCATGTCTTGAGAAATGCCCACCATACGGGGATGAAAAAGGCAGTAGGCAAAATATGAAAAAATATCCCAGGAAGAACCAAGCTTGTTAGCTTGGCAGCTAATATAAGGGAGAGATGCTCTGGAACAGATTTGCATCTTATAGGTCTTCGGGCCACTCCAAGAGTACATAGGTTGGAAATTTTATGACTAGAAGCAGAAATACTTGTTATCTGTTAAGTCTCTAATACCGCCCAAGCCATTTGTTCATAGATCTTCCCCCCGCCCAGATTAAACAACCTTCGAACATACATTGTTTCATATTCTACATCCGTGACCCCTAGACATGGTAGGTATAGGTATCTGTTTAATTTTATTTTGCTATTGTATATAAGAAGCCAAAGGACACATTTTGGGGCACTAGGAAAGGGGGTGAGGAAATCAATAGAGTATCAAAAAACCATTTGTAGCTAAAATATTGTCCTAAGAAAATTAGCTATGTACTTAACGGATTTTTGACCAGGTCCACTGAGTGCTACTCACTTCATTTGTGTTTCCCTTGAGCCAAGGAAGGTGAGAATTCTGACTCTGCTTTCAAGTCACTGGGACTCACGCACTTGTATGCTTGTCAGCCTGACACTGTGAGGGGACAGATAACTAATGAATATCTCTGAAACATATTTCTTAAATGTCTTTAATGAAATTAGCAATGTAGGTTTAAATTCCAGACACCTATATAATCCCCACCCCCCAAGGTCTCACTCTAAAGAACTTTTCCAAAAAGCAAAATTGTGAACACTGTCCCCTTTTCCTGAATTCCTAAGATGGGCTATGCAAGCTGGTATGGTTACAACTTAAAGGGACAAAAATATTAAAGGAAAAAACCCCACAAGGTTTCCTTTGATTTTAACAGGTAGACTTCCAGCTCACTTCCTTTAAAATATTGCCCCTGAATTGCAAATTACTTCATGGTCTTTTTTTAAGTGAGCTCTTTTCCTAGACTGACAGAGCCAGCTGCAGCATTATACTGTCTATGGAAATGATATCATCAGCACTCTGTCCTTGAATAAGACTACAATCATTACATTTGGCTCCTTTTCACATGGCAGGAACCCAAGAGATGTTTGTTTATAGGAACAGTATTCAGAAAGTTATCACTTCTGCACTCTATCAGTTGGCAGCTTAAAATTAAAAGAAAGTTTATCTTGAATTACTTGAATCCCCTTTTAAAGTAAAAGTAGTTTTAATTTTAATACATTTACAATTAATGTTTAAAGTACTAGCTTGTTTTCTAATTTTTAATGTATTAATTAATTTTGGGAGTAAGAGTAGAAAATTATAAGAAATAATTTATTATTTGCTTATATTCATTATTCATTAAATATATTTATATTTCTTATACTTCTGTGTTCTAACTTATGATCAGTAATATAATTAACATACTATTTATTATAATTAATTTGATACTAATTAGAACTATTCAATCTAATAATTATTCAATTTAATAGTTATAACTAAGTCATTTTTATACCTGGTATAAAACTTAGATTGTGTTCCCATAACCCCATTCCTTAGAAAAAGCCACTGTTAAACCATTTGGTGTCATCCCCTTCTGACCTTTAGTCATATATCAATTTTGCTTTTTCATGGATGGGCTCTTACATTCATTTCAAGGGGTAGCAAGTGATTTTGTCTAACCAAATTACTTAATCAAATAATAATAGAAAAGAACAAAATATTTGAGAGCCATATTCACCACGAAAAACATGTTGTAGAAATTCAACTCACATCTTTTATTAAAGGTTCTCATCTGACAAATATTAGTAAAGCTGTCCATTAAACTGTAAATAACTTTTTAAGTACAAAAATAGGCAGGTGATTTTATAATCTAAAAAAAGATTTTACATTTTCTTAAAAAAACGACTACCACTCTCCCTAAAAAACGTCGTTTAATTTTATTAACATAAATCCAAAATGTTAGCACCATTTATATGCACAGTAAGACCAATAACTTGAAATTTATCATTTCTATCTTTAGTAAATCAATCTTTTCCATTTTTTGTCAATTATTTTCCGACTTTCAAAAATTGAAAAATAAGTGTAAAATTTAATTAAGCTGCTCTTGTTTTCACCCAGTAAATATCATGGTGTCTAACAGAAACCGCATAGAAATAAAACATCAACCTTACTTGTTTTTTACACAAGGGTTCCATAGAACAGCACTTGTAAAAAAGGGGTTTCATTGCTAAAAAGGTTTTGAAAACCGGTGAAGTTGAGGTCTTAAAAGCACTGGCAATATGCATAGTCATGCATACAGTGACAGCAGGCCTGCGCTTACAACCCAGGCTGTGGTCCAGTCCAAGGTCTAGTTTACGATACCATCCTGCTTACATGAAGCCTCCTTGAATCCCCCACTGGAAAGAATACCGCTTTCTTCTAATTCTCACTGCATTTTGCTTTTATCTAATAAACTAAAAGAGTGGTTAATCTTTTTATATCCACAATGATTGATGAGAATTCTATCAAAATCATTCAACCTTGCACTGGAGTTTGCAATTGGTATTGCATTAGTTAATTAATTTTTATTAATCATCTTGATCTCTCTTCATCATGCCCCCAAATGTAGTGTTAGATGAAGAACAAGAAACAAAACCCAAGAGCATCTCATTTACTCATAAATTAAAAACTATTTTTGTATTCCTTCCCATCCCAATTAAAATGATTCTAAAAACAAACAAAAATGATCCAACACTGTTCTCTAATTATTAATGTAATATGCTTGATAGAGAATATTTAGGATACACAAAAGCATGAAGAATCAGAAAAATATCAATCATAATGCTATTGCCTTACAACCTGTAATAATGTTATTTTCTTCCTTTTTTCTATACTTACTTTCCAAACATAGTTGAGATCATATTAGATGTAAGTTTGTATCCTTTTTTCCCCCACTTCACATGTCACAATCATCATTTCTCCATGTTATTAAAGGCTCCTTGTAAAAAAATTTTAATGGACGTTTCATCATATAATTTAACAAATTCCTTAATATGTTGGTCATTAACAGATGGACACACTGAATGTGTTTTTTGAATGAATTAACACAGGACTTCCAACACTTATTTTTACATCTGAACTGTATTCAATGGCTTAGGCAGGGCCTGAAAAAAAGGCAAAACCTCATAAATACCCAAAGAAAATGTAGGATATGTATTTCAACAGGTCAAATAGCCAATCAGTTCTCTTTATGGGTCCTATCACATTAACCATAAACTGTTTATTAAGGGGAAATAAGGAAAAGTCACTATTACCCACTCCAAGGACAGATAAAACTATCCTACAACCATTAACCATCTTTCTCCACACAAAAATTTTGAACAAGAGGCATAGATCCTAAAGAAAGGCTAACATATTCAACTGAAGTTTTGAATTCTCATGAGACCAACTTGAGATACAACCAACAAGGTAAAAAATTTAATGATACATGGCAAAAGATTAATATTCTTTAAATTTGCACAAAGCCAGTAGCAAAATGTACAAAGGACACTGAAAATTTTATATAAAATAAAATGACCAAAAATTTATGAAGATGTTCAAACTCAGTTGTAAACCAAAGAAATGTAATTATACAGGTGAGGTAACACTTTTCACATAGGGATCAGCTGAGACTTAAAAAAAAAAAGAAACAGTATTACTTGAAATAAACAAAGATGTATTCCTGAAACTTAAAACTTTGTTCATCAAAAGCAATTTTCTTACAAAGATAATGATGAAATGGGAATTCAGTCAGACTTGGGAAAGAGTACAGTCTATATTATTAAAATGAATATAAACTTTCTATAAGACAAAGAACCTTTAACAGAAAAGTAAAAGGACTAGCATTGAAGGCTGACAGTTGTAGACTGACATGCTTTCGGGAAAGCATCACCAAGGAGGAAAACAGGTCGTCTACTGCTAGATGATAAAAACTGTTGGAGAGTATCATTCCCCAGTATTAAAAAAGGTGAGCTAGAAGTATATATTTTCATAGGTTTTTCCCTTCTATTCTTTCAAAAAGGAATCAATGATTAGCACATGTTGGACACATTACAAGGAGGTTAACAAGTAAGCTCTGCACAACAGGTTAAAAGCTAATGATCAGAGAAACCTGCATTTTGCTGATTGGGGAAAACTGGTGAATATACATGCACAACCTGGAAATGCCTAGGTAGAGTGGTGGTGGCCTGTGAATAGTGAGAGCAGATTAACGTAGTGTAAAGTGTTTTAATTATAAAGATGGCCATGTGTTTGAGCGAAGAAATGACCAGGATGTGGGGAAACTTTGGGGAAGACAATTGGCTTTTAAAAGTCCATACACTTTGACACAAAAATTCAATTTGTAGATTGAATGAAAACTAAATTCAAGTATTAATTGCAGTATTGTTTTTAATGGCGATAAGTAAGTAACAGGTTAATGTACATCAACAGAAGACTTTTAAATAAATTGGGACAACCCAAACAGCAAATACATCATTAAAATAATTTTTTATATGTGAAAAATGTCTATAATATAGTGTGGGAAAACTACAGGGCATTTAGAATTCTATATTGAAAACATACACTCAAATATATACGTACATACCCATCCCAAAGTATCAATACTGGTTTTCTTAGAATGGTGGGACAGTGGATGATTTTAATTTTCTTTTTGTTTATTATATCTTTTGGGGGGTTTTCAAAGAAATATGTATTTATGTAATTTTTTTTTTTTAAGATTTTATTTATTTATTTGACAGAGAGAGACACAGCGAGAGAGGGAACACAAGCAGGGGAAGGGGGAGAGGGAGAAGCAGGCTCCCCGCAGAGCAGGGAGCCCGATGTGGGACTTGATCCCAGGACCCTGGGATCATGACCTGAGCCGAAGGCAGTCGCTTAACTGACTGAGCCACCCAGGCGCCCAATTTTTTTACATTAATAAACACTTACATGCTAAAAAGAGTTATAAAAATTAAAGGGGGCAAACCAGGAAGTCTGTAAAATCATGATTAAGCGCTAATGTATTTTCAATTTAAAGGATTTAACTGATTTATATGAAAAACAGTAAGATTCTAATGGGACGCCTGGGTGGCTCCCATAGTCGTTAAGCATCTGCCTTCAGCTCAGGTCATGACCCCAGGGTCCTGGGATCGAGCCCCGCATCGGGCTCCCTGCTCAGCAGGAAGCCTTCTTCTCCTTCTCCCACTCCCCCTGCTTGTGTTCCTCCTCTCTCTCTGTCAAATAAATAAATAAAATACTAAAAAAAGAAAAAAGAAAAACACTAAGATCCTAATAATAAATGAACAAAGCGAAAGAAGAAACTAAAATATATAGAAAAATAGTATCAATAAACAAGTGCAAATAAGACAACATACTTATCCTCTTATTAAAGTGGAAAGGGTTTTAAAAAACCCACAATATTAATTAAATATGAATAGGTACTCTCTCAAACCCCATCGTACCTTTTAATCCAGTAGTTGCACTTCTGAAATTCTGGCCAAAAGAAATATTGCTAACTATGAAAAAAATACTCCTATGAAAAAAAAGCTTTCAGTATAATATGTCCTTCACAATGTTCCTTGTACAAGAAAATAATGAAAATACAGCAGAGTATTATTTGGGAATCCAAAACCAAGAAGCATCCAAACATTGAGACTGCTTCAAAAAGATCTCATCCATGCTGATACAGAATGATTTGCTAAAATGCAAGGCATGTAGTGATGTGAATAACTAGTCACTTAGGCAGGTCAAAGAATTACAAAAGGTTGGTACCAGTCATAAGGGACACAAAAGGAATGTCAGAGGCTATTTTATGTTGTGAAAATCTCATTCTTTTCATGGGACAAAGGTGATTTAGTAGCAAAAGAGGGATATTCCAGATGTGAAAATGAAAAAAAGGGCATAAAGATCAAGATGATGATTCAGATTCTTTTCCAAAAGAGCTTTGTACCATTTACCATTTCAATGTCTGCAGATGCTTACAATAAACTCTGTTATGTTCCTGACATTCCTAGATGCAGATCCACACAAATTTCAAATAAATAAAATTTGTATACACCACTTATTGCACTGCATGATGTTTTTAGGCCATTTTTAAGGAAATAAATCTGATTTCTACCACAAGAACTAATGAGAAAAACATAGTCACCTTGAATCCTTTTTGAACTAAGGCAGAATTAAATAAGAAAATTAAATGTCAGCATGCTATAACTACGTAAGAAAAACCTATCGATGGGGAAAAATCCACAGAAATATTATTAGTTCTCATTCATTCATCAACACATATAAATGAAACACCTATTACACACTCAGCACCGTGCTCAGCACCGAGAGATATAAATTGGTAAACACAACAGTCACTGGCTGTCCTGGAGCTTACCTTCCAATGGAGGGGAGACACACATTATTCAAATAAGCATATGCATGGAGGTGATGCCTCTTCCCCAACTTTTTTCCTTCATTTTTCTTGTTTACTATCAACCATTCTCATGAATGTTCACTTTAATAATACTCATTTTAAATGACCGGACTTTTCTCACATTTTAAGACAAATTAATTACATAAATTGGTCACTATTTATCTGGTTCATGTCCAATTCAAATATCCAGAAGAAAAAGATAGAAAGCTTTCCATTTATTATCTAAGTTCCATAAAAAGTTTCCTAGAGAAGGTCAGGACAATCTTTTTGTCATTTGCATAATGCAGCTATCATATCTTTTCAACTGCCCTGGCAGATCCCAGCCCTGGCCAGTAAATAAAGCTACTATCACTAAGTCTAAACACATTCAGGGAATAAATCAGAATAAAAACACTGACAACACAGACGTGTGAATAATAATTATAATTAACCCCTTCTAAAAGAAAAGGTATATGTAATAGTACATAATAGTAACAGTTTAACCCATTTTTTTTTTTTTTTACTCAAAGCATAAAGCAGAGACAACACTTTATCCCAGGTTAACATGCAACTTAAAAAAAAAAGTTAATATACATATTAAACATGGAAATTCACCAGTAAAACCTTACTTATTTTTCATTTCCCCCCAAACATATCTTGACATAATTCCTTTATTTCTTAATAAACAAGGCCCTACCACTGGTCACCTGACCAATATCTTACATTTCTGGAGCTTGACAGTTTAGTGAGTTATGGACATAAAAACACTGTTACAAGTATAATGAAGTAACACATCTGCAAAGCAGCTGATAAGACTGCTTTACCAATGGAGAGGTCCCTATTCCAATCTGCCCATTCCCTCCCAACCTCTGCAAAAACAGAAATATTCTCCAGCCATCCATGAAGTTGTCTTGTCAAGAAAGACCTGAAACATTATTTCCCTAGGTGTCTAACACATCAGCAGCGATGAACTATAAAAGCACCCAAGTGCTCTAAGATCCTTACTTTTTGGAATATTCCTTGAGGGTAAAATTTTCTTATGATACAGAGAAACACAAGTTCAAAAAACGATAAAGAGAGAAGACAGATTCTTCTGCCTCTTTGTGCATACAAAGCTTGACTCAAAACCTTTTATCATATTAGAAATTCCGATACAACAAACCTAAAAACTTTCAGAGGTTTTTCCTAATTCCTTCTTGTATTAAATGTGGCTTCAACTATGTCAATATACATACAGCTCAATTTGCGAGGGGCAGTTATACAAATAGACTACTTGGAACACATTTTCATGTAGGCTTCTCTAGGAAAATACAATAAAGAAGGAAGACTATCTTCAAGAATTTGTTATATTTAAAATCAATACTGTTAGTAAGATGTATTTTAAGCACAAATTAAAATTAGTATACATTTTTCTCATCTCTAGCAACCAAAAGAGCCCTGCTTAGACATAATTAGAGCTTCCTCCTCAATGTGTTATCTTGAACTTAATTAACCCAGAAAAGATTTTTAAAAGTGCTCTGCAGGTATCACCTCCTCTCAAAAAAACCATAGAGGGACATAATCTAAGAAAAGGCTATCCAATCTAAATGACTAGTTCAAGCAAAAATAATTAGAGGAATTCTGTATATCACCAATGTAAGAGGTTTTGGAGAAGAGAATAGTATACAATTATTTAAAATCATGTACACATTTCACTTTGCATGCAAGATGATCTAAAATATAAACACAATGTAATTGTAAATCACTGAAAATACAGTCAAGTCTCTGCCCCCAGAATTTAGAGTCACACTCTATGGTCAGAAAAAAAGGAAGGGAGGGAGGGAGGGAAGAAGGGAAATATGAGAAACATAATAGGAGTCTATCAAATATTTTAGTTTGTAAGTAGAATCTAAACAAAGAGGAAGGATTTGGGCATGCACACACACAAAATGGATCAAGATCTAAACAATATGATCAAAATTACTAACCACTAAGTATGAGAAGAGTTAAGAGGCTACTCTTAAATAAGCGATAAAGTTTCACTAAGGTTTTAAAACACACAATATAATTTTCTGTGTGTGAAAACTATTTTTTAAAAAACAGAAACAGGGTTCAGTTTTCTAGCCTCTACCTTAGCAAAAGGGCAACAGAATATTTTTATTAGGAAAAGAGAAAAAATGGTTTTGCTCATGTTTCCTAAACTATGGTTTGTTATCTAGGTTTCTTCTGTTTTTGTTGTTTGTTTTTTTTTTTACTCAAATAAAGCACAAACTGTGACTTAGAAATTCTCAGGGCTTTGTCACCAGTACACCAAGCACATATAATACCATAGAAAACACATATACTTTATTAGATGGACTTAAAATCCCACACAAATTAATTTTAGGCACTTCTTGGGTATAGACTATGGGAATCTTCTTTCAAAGAACAACGTATCTAGCAGGCAAGACCACAGAGTTTAGTTTTAAGAACAATACATAACGACTAGACAATTGATTTAAAAAATTGCATAATTAACCCAACTGTATCCTGTTACAATTTCTTCACAATTCCACACACCACTTTAGGGTTTAATAGAAACAGTAATTTTTTTTTAGCATCCAAAGTCTAAAATTTTTTTTTCCTTTATTTCACCAATATGGTCTTGAAACTATCACACATTCTTTGAGGGAGCATGAGATAGAAGTTCTATTTTTGTATAGGGTGAACTTTAAATCAGTACTTTCTATATTGTATCTACATCTATACAGATTCAACACATGATGGCTGACTTTGATGTCTTTTAAAGCCTATTTCAACAGGTTTATTTTGCAAAGACAGGCTTCTCATTACTAATTCCTTTAGACATCTAATGTTTGTGTTCTTTACGTAACTATGAGGAAAAAAATAGAATGTGGGCAATGGTTTTAAGGATGTCTTTGGGGTAAACACTACATATAAATTTGGTTTGGCATCTTCTTCTAACTCAAGTTGTTTGCACAGGTATCCTCCAAAACGCAATCCATTGTTGGTAATGGGAAGATAAAATACACGTAACTTCATCCCTTCCATGCCTAACTAGCAGCTTAAGGAGCTGGAAAAGTCTAGGTAGTTCTGTTATCTTTCTGAATCTACTGAATCTACTTTTCAGCATATGAAGCTAAAACTAAGAAACATTAATATGTTAAATATAGTAGGATTTTACTACTGGCATTTATATGCTGTATATACAGCAAGCCAGTCTTCTGATGTACTCAACAACCCTGACAATACTCTCTAATGAGCAAAGTACAAATTGATAAATCAAGCCAGTGGTGGGGAGATAGCAAAGAACTAGAGAACCTACTTAGAAACTGGTGGTTTGGGGAATGATGGCTTTAAGGCAAAGTTTAGAATACCTCCAGGATTGAGTAACATACCTTCACTGATGGTGAATGAAGATACAGGGGAGCAAGGGATGGCTGAGCTATGGGAAAGCTGATCTGCAGCAAGAAGTTCTAGATATTTGGACAGTTGGGAGGGGTCAAAGATAAGTCATGCAAAGAAACCTTGTCTCTACCCAGCTTTGAAAGAGGGACTGATGACAGGATACAACTGGGTAACAGAGAAGATGACCCCAAAGTCCACAGAAAAATCTGGGATGTGCTGTTATCCTCTAGATACAAAGTAGAACACACTACAGATACATTCCCAAAAATGCCTGCAGAGAAAACTAGAAATCTAGTTGTTTACAGTTTTTCTATTTACACTAATATAAACAGATTTTGAGGTTGTCTGTACTGTATGTGGTTGCTGTGGTCACAGCAAGAAATGTAAAGTGCCTACAAGAGAGAGGACAACAGAATCCCATTTCTAGGCATCTTAATTCTATACACTGAGACAAAAAAGAAAAGAATATCTCAGGGACTTCCTGCCTTTCCTCAAGCTCCCTATACTTTTCTGTAACTACCTACTAGGCACTTCTTAAAGGCCAGAAAACAAACTCTTCTATTTCACGCCACACTTCTAAAATCACTTTATCTGCATTAAAAGTGCCAGCCAGCAGTGCTAAAGCACTTTTTTTTATTCTTAAGGCAAAATGTCATATCCCATACCCACTTTCCCCTGCCCCCCAAACCACCTGCCTTCACTGTATTCTTTGCCCATTATAAGAGCCAAAGAAGATAGAACTGAAAACTTTCTAACTAGACTCCTCAATATAATGTGTAAGATATACTTTATAAATGCTATTATCACAAAATTAAACATATTTAAATGCTTATAGCATATGGTTACTTTTACCAAGATATCAAGAATAATTATATGACTTTCAAAATTAATATCAAACAAGGATATTCAAATCCAGCCACATGTACAGAGGTATGAAGCTTTGTTCTTTTCAAAGGTGAGCACAATGACTCTAAACAAGATGGTTGTTTACACCCAAAAGTAGCATATTAAAAACCAAAAGCACTGCCCTTTGCTTACTTCTATTTAAACTGCATATAAATTGCCAGTATGACTACTCATGAGACTCTCCATCATATTTGGAAATAATACTGTTAAAATTATCTTGATGTATATTCATACATGAATTAAAATTTTTTTGTCATTGTAATTTTGGTTTTATGTACAAGCGTATAGGTACAATCTTATTTCTAATGTTTAGCCTAGAAGGTAGAATGTAACAAAAAATCATGTTTTGTAAATGTGGTATAAGATTTCATGCATTCTCATGATGCCATGTCAGTCACCTACCACACTAAACCAACTGTAACAATGTAGTGCATGCTTTAAACATCCAGCTAAGGATAAATTTTAGCCAACACCCTGACGAGAAGGGCAAGTGCTGGTACAGCACTGAACTGATGCGGCAGCAACCCACAGGACTAAGCCATGACTATTCAAACGAAAAGATAAAAAGGGTAAAAGATGTGAATTTGCTGGACTACTTCACAGAATATTTATCTCAGATGAAAATGCAACATCTGCAAAATAGATTTGGGTTTTTAAGGGAGTTTTTAATATAAAACAAGTAATTCCTAATAGTGATTTGAAAAGGTATGAGAACATATGAACAAATAAAACTTAGTAATTTAGAATTTACTTTTGTAAAAGCAAGTTGACAAATATTAAAATGTTATACTTGCATTATGAACATTGTAATATAAATATAAAACACAAAACATCCACTGTTAAAAACACTGATCTCCCATGCCTGACTTGGATTTAGATATTGAGTATATTTTACAGAAAGAAACTTTCAAAGTTTTGTCAATGCTTGCGGTATATACTATTATTCCTCATCAAAATCTGCGTGAAATCTAAAAGGCTGGTATTAAAAGTAGTTATTTTTTTTCTTCAATATTCTAAAATATGCCAGTTTGGATCAGCCTTCAGATTTTCAGGGCATGAAACATATACAAAGAGAGTACCCAAAAATATGTTTGAACACATTTAGGATAAGTTTGCTTACAATTACAACAGAAATACCTTCTACCTTCATATCTTTCCATTTTCAGTGAAAAAAAATATCCTAAGCAAACATAAGATATTTGGGGCCAAGTTACTTCTTTGTAAAAATAATATATCATGTTGATCAACTTTTAAATCAAATTCTTAAAAGCACTAAAAAAAGTTTGTATCTTATAATCGTTAATGCATTCATGTGGTGTTAGGAAGATAAAAGAAAACATATAGAAACAAAAAATCTCAAACTATCCCAATTCTTAAAATGAGAAATTTTCAAATTAAGAAATAACCTTTGTTGTTTAAAAAATAAGCTTTTCATCTCAAACTCCCTTTAAATGATTGACATATAATTCAATACCTAAGAAGACTCTAGGTAAATTATTTGATTAATATTTATAGGGTGATACTTCTCTGGGTAGACATATTTTACACAACAGCTTCCCATTAATGTTGGAAAAAAAATCACCTGATAATTTTAATCACAATTAATGATTGATTAATGGATTAACAATTTTCTCATTTAGAGAATTTAGAAATTAGATGGCACAGATCCAATAAAGGAAACAATCTGGTAATTGCTCAACGTGAAATTCTGTCCATTCATAATACTAAGCCAAAAATCTGCAGAGACTCCACTCCGTTGGATTACATGTTTTCATGTATGTAATTTGATCAACAAAAAATAGGTACACACTGTTGAGCTTTCTTCTTTTTTTCTTTCTTTTTTTTTAAGAGCAGCTCAATGATTTTGGGGATTGGTCAGTACAATACAGAAAACAAGGGGCAAAGCACAAAATGGCACTTAACACCAATGCCAGTACTCATCTCATTATGATTATTAACAAAGGATATTATTATTTTTTGTGTTATTTGCTTTTCCTTAGAACATAATCAAAGCCATAAACTTGAATTTGAGGTATATACACAATACATACACAACCTTATGCAAAATACTTTTCATAATTAACATTAATTGGAAACTGAGTATCTGTGCTGATTTGTATTTTGACTTAATGGAACACGAAGAGAATAACATTCAACTAGGGAGGGTTATACTGACAATAAAGCTCTTAAAGTGAAAAATGTCTTCCTCTCCCTTTGTACTTACCACAGGCTATACAGTGTCCTGAGAGGATTCATTATGAAAAAAATAGCAATCACAGCTTTAAAGACCTTGCTTTGGAAGGAACAATGAGAAAGCAGATTGGAAAGTGAGACTTCATCTTTGTTTTCAAACAAGTGGTCTTAATTTTTCTTCTTATAGAAAAAAGTTTAAATCAGTTTATTATAAATATATCTAAACCATTAATTTTTGCAGCTTTCAGGTAAAGTCCAGCACTTCGTTTATACAAAGTCTGTGAGAAGAGGTCAGTAGAGATCATCTAATCTTAAGTCGTGACATCATCCATTCAAGTCCTTGGCATAATCTATAAAGAATATAAAATCATTTGATTAAATTCTCAACTAAAAAGCTATGAACAACAAACTGAAAGATATCATTTTTCATTTTCCTAAACAACAAAGATTAAAAAGTCAGTAATATTCAATGCTGGTGTTATTGTGGTGAAGCCATACTCTCATACACAGTAGTACATCCATGCTTTTCTGGTTTTGTTATGTCTTTAGTGCCTAGACCACTGCCTGACACATAAAAGGAGCTCAATAATTATATAATGAACATCCACGGAAAGTAATTTGGCAATATGTATCAAAAATATTTAAAATATCAATACCTTTTTTCTACTTCTAGAAATGTATTCTAAAATAATAAGAGACAAGGACAGGTTGATATGTAAGACTGTTCATCAAAGCATTTTTAATAGGTAAAAGTAAAATTTAAATACCTAGAAATAGAGAAAAAATTTAATATAGAACACTGATATCATGAAATAGTAAAAACTTCCTTTCAAAGACAATTTTATAGTATGATAAAATGCTCATGATATAAATGAAATAAAAGTGGCAGGATATTAAACTAAATATATAGTTGAGGTGGTAAAACAAAGTATACACATGTATGTTACATCTATATATTTTAAAAATTTGAAGGGAATAAAATCTCTTAATCACTAATACCAGTTACTAGTGAACAATGTGTAATTGAGAACAGCACAAAACATAGAAAAAGATGTTCACTATGATAATAAAACTAAATGTTTAGCGAGAGGAAAATGGTTGTACATATTATAACAAAATGAAAGAATGTTATAAAATATTAACTATTATCTATGAGGAGCTTTTATAGATATGATAAAATATACTACTATATTTAATTAAAAAACACCAGAACTCAGGTTTTGTGGAAGTATGAACCTAATAATGTAAAAGAAGAAGAAAAAGAAGAAAAGACAATGAGGTAAATAAATGGTTATCTTGGTGTTGGCTCATACTTTCCCTACTGTTAGTAGATTCCTTACTTTTAAACTACTGATAGGAAATGGTGCAAAATAATAAAAATAATAGGCAAATAAAGTAAGTCCAAACTGTTAAATGAACAGTAGTTACCTAACTGCAAACTAGAAACTGTGCTAAGCACTTAATACCCATTATCTTAATCTTTACAGATTAAAGGACCAGAACCCTTCCCATACTACAAGAGGGAACCCAAGGCTTAAAAGATGCTAGCAAATGGCAGAGGTGGGAGTCAAAATGCCAACCAACCAATACTAAAACCTAGAGCTTAGATCAAGGTGGCCGGACTGCAGAAGGGAAACATTTTCTCCAAAACCAAACACTTCCACTTGATAACTACTGCAGAGGGAAGCCCACATAAACCAAAAATTAGAAAGATATAACATCATCCACTGATTTCCTCTTTTAAAAATGAAACTGCCATGGTTCGTATCTATCCTAACTAATGATATATTTCCACATAATTACTCCAAGTATTTAAGTCAAATCTTCTGCCAATCCTCCATGATCTTTGTTGTCATATTTAGTATTAAAATCAGTGCTTTTGCTTAAAGACCTTTGGTAGACAAATATAACGTATAAAGATATACCTGTATCAACAAGTATTCAACTATTTGACAAAGAAATATGTAATGGATAAGATATTTTTACCTAAATGAGTATGTGGACAATGGGTATTATCTGTGACTTTTTTTTTTTAAACTATAAACATATTTACTTTTTTGAGGTTCTAATTATGTTCTATCAATCGTCTGTAATCAGGTAATAGGGCCTTCTATTTCACTAAGATTCAGCTTCATCTCCAGTTTACTTCTTTTTTCTCTGCTTTTAAATACATACATGAGGGATTCTAAATAGAGGTCTTAAATTTGGGGTTGAGGTTCTTCTGATATTAGGCAAGACCAGAAGCTTGGGGCAGAAACAGATGAGGTAGCTGAAGTGGGAGAAATTCTCAAGACCATGGTGAAGGTGAACTAATACAATGAGTTACTAAAGCTATCTATCTCTGCCCTGAGCTTCTACCCTATCCTATACCTCAAATTTAAGACCTCTAATTAGAATCTTCACCTCCAATTTAATTATTTTTCAATCCTTTTAAATACACAGATCCACCGTATTTTGGAAAAACAACTACAACGAAAACCTTAACTTGCTCATCTCTTTCAGCTTTTAAACCTATTTCTAACCTCCTTTATTCCATCTCTCCTAATAGCGTTCTCTCCTTCTTCCTCATCCTTGACCTTATATTTGACAATGCTGACAACCACTTCTTTCTTGAAATTCTTTCATCTCTGGGCATTAGACTAGGGCAAAATTCTACTGCAGGCATCTACCTTTCTTTTCCAAACCAGGAACCTTCGTGCCAAACTCTCTCCAATTTCCCACCCCTTTTTTAAAGTGCAACAACCCCCTCTTGACAACACTAGTGGCAAAATGAGTATCCCCAAATTAGTCTCACACTTGAATCCTTTCCTAGTTCAGCTTCTTCATGGATAAAATGTAAATTAAAACCAAAAAGTCCAAAGGATTGTTATCACAACTAAATGATACACTGTATGGAAAGCACTCAAGGCACAGGACATTACAGTGTTAAGACCCACCACCAGAGCAAGAACTGTTTCTTGACTTGTCCAGCACTCCATGACACTCCCATTTCTCTGAATTCCTACAGCAATTCTATAATCTATTTGTTCATATGGATTAGTTCAGTATGTTTACACGTATTACGCACGTTTTATGTTTTATTCTTTACAGAACCAAGCTAAAAACTCTCTAATTACACATAAGGACTATGTCTCACATCTCTCCCTTACATTGTTTTATACATGGTAGCCTTAAATATTTATTGATTTTAAGAATACATGTTTCTAAAATAAAGACGTGTTTTCCGAAAGGAACTCTTACCCCTCGCCAGTAAGAGCACAGCATGCCTGGATATGCCACTGGTGATCTTTAAGAGACGTTAGTTTCAAAAACTGGGAGATTTCTGCTACAGTCATGCATTCTTTAACATCTTGTTTATTAGCAAAAATCAGCAATCCAGCTTTCCGTAGGTCCTACAGAAGCAAACAAAACTGTAAAGGCCAGTGCATTTTACTCAGAGATTTTCCAACTCAATTAACCGAATACTTTTGATCTTTTAACCTAGAATTCCTCAACCACTTGACATAAAAGCATCTTATAGCTCTTATGCTGATGGACAGTAAACTTAAAACTAAACATATTTTAAATAAACACTTCTATATTTGTATGGATTTACATATTTCTTATAGCCCTAAATAACATTTTTTTATGATCCTACGTGCTATAGTTAACAGTCATATCTTCAAATACATATTTACCCCTCCCCCTAATCCAAAACTAGGTTTCCATGGCTAAGAGCTACTCTTTAGCATGGCAAGAGATTTTCAAAATTCTACCCCAATCTATTCTTTAGGGACCCATACCTAAAGCTAGTATCTTCCAGGTGCATAGGAAACAAACTAATTCATCATATACAATGTATGCCTTAGGACCTTAGAGTTTAATTCTCAGTTGGAAGGTGCTATCCTAAACCAATCCTATTCTTCTGAGACCTAGGTCCTCTATCTTTGTTCATGAAGATTTCTTAGATTTGAATATTCAATAGGGCCATTTTCGTTAGCATTAAGTTTATCGTATTTCCCAATTAGACAGTAAGTTCTACCACTTCTAGGCTTTGCCTCTGAGGCAAATTCTTTAATTTTTCTGAATTTGTTCCAAACCAGGTTTGAACTGAGATCTTCCTGCTATAGCTGCTGCCCCTCATTTATAAAATCCTGAGACTACCACCTACCTCCTGGGGATGTAGTTTGAATGAATGAACTACTACATGAAAAACACCCCAGTTCAGTACCTGGCTTTGCGTAACAGTCCAGTAAATATTAGTTCACTTATTGCCCTGAAAATGAGGGTCATCTTTACCTTTCTGCATACCCCAAAGTGACTGGTTTAATGTTTTACTCACAAAGCAGGCAAATGGTTATTCATCTCCTTTTGCTCTATCCTACCCTTCCTTTTCCCATTTTTAAAGCCAGATACTTCCTTGATAATCTATTGAAAGTTATGGACCTTTTCCTCATAAAAATGTACATATGTATATATGCAAAAAAAGATTTACATATGATGTTAGGGTGTTAAAAGATACCCTGAAGTCCTCATGGATCCTGAATTAAGAACCCATGATGGATGCACTCAACTGGTAGATTAAAATTCTGCATATGTATATATATATATATACACATATAAAGAGATACTGAGAAAACTAAGGTTTTAGTGCTGTGCTTGCAAATTTTCTCAACTGTGTTGAATGATATCATTCTTCTTAGGTATTTTTATAGGATATTTTGATTTCAATCATGTGTATATGTGTTTGAAACAAGAAAGTCTTTAGTATATACAAACTGACATTGCTCCACATTATTTTACTCTGTGAGAACACAGTTTCAATAATCTCTTTGATTTTTTTTCTGGTGTCAATAAAAAATATAAGTAATAAATTTCTTATTTGGTTAAAAGGAGTTATGCAAAATGTTTTATAGAACAGTCAAGATAGACTTTTAGTTACAGCGCCCTCTGCAGGATGGCAGCTATGCTACCACAGTTAATGACAGAGTTACCTGAAAAGCATGGTCAGAAAGGGATACTCTAGAATGTTAAGTTTTAAGATTTCACAATTTATTTTACCTATGTTCAGTTTACCTGTCTATATAAAAGGCAAAAAGTTGAAGAGATGGACTATAACCAGTACATCTAACTATATTCATTATCAAGGATCAAATACTTTTTCTCCTACCCTAAATGGAAAACAGAACATGTATCAATAGTTGATATGTTGCTGAATCCCTGAGTAGGTGGATTTTCCATGGAATGGAATTCCTATCTTCCTATCTTCCAGGTTTCAGTATCTCTTGCTAGAGTATGCTGAAATCTTATATAGGTCAGGACTGCTAATGCTAGCATGTTCAAAGAGCACATTTCTGACATTAGAAATACCTGGTACAAGTTAAAAAACATCATTTATGCTATTTTATTTGCATGTAATCTATACTCATCACTCCTGGTGATGAAATCTGGAGAAGTCCCTAGGCTGAAAATTGGAAAACATAAAAAATAAAGCTATTTATTGTAGGTCTCAAAATAAAACCCATACTGAATCTAATTTTTCTAGATTTCACTGGCTCAAATTTTTAAATTTGGGCTTCTTGTTTTAAAAAAACAAATAATAACTATTTTCCCTATTTTTGAGTATTTAGGAAGAGAAGAAAATCTTCTTTTACTTTTTATTAAATAACCTCAGGACCAATTATGCATTATGTTAATAACAGAAAAGAGATATATTGGATTAAGGCTGCTCATCAACTTGACTTAATAAGAGGTCAAAGTACAAGGTGAATAGTGGTGATTTTTATACATCAGCCATTTTAAACTTTGAAAAAACTTTCTGCTACCTATTACAGATTGTTGTTAAGAGTCTAAAACTATTTTTTCATTTAGTCAAGATGAACAGCAGCACATGCAAGACATATTTACTTATTAGCATCTTCCATATGCCATATGCAGTTGTCAATTTGTTTCTCAAAGCTTCATTTGTGAAGGTAATTCCTAGAAGGTGAGTCACTCTGAATAAACTTTCATCTATCCTTTTGTGTTTGGAACTATTTTAAAATTCATGAGCTTCAAAGTTTTGCACTTCATTTAAGATGAGGCTTTCAGGGGGCGCCTGGGTGGTTCGGTGGGTTAAGTGTCTGCATTCAGCTCAGGTCATGATCTCAGAGTCCTGGGATGGAGCCCTACATGGGCTCCCTGTTCAGTGCGGGGTCTGCTTCTCCCTCTGCCCCTCCTCATGCCACACTTGTGCTCGCGCGCTCTCTCTCTCAAATATAAATAAAATCTTAAAAAAAAAAAAAAAAAGATGAAGCTTTCAGAAATATTTAAAATCGTTTTATAGTTTTGTATCTAGTAATACATGTAAAGCATCATTATTAGTGATAATAAGATTTTGTTGGTTACTATGGTACATATGAAACACCTGACTAAACCCATGTCAAAATTTGTTTTTCACTCATATTCTCATTCTTTGATCCATTTGCCCCTTCCAAAACTACCTATTTGGCTCTTCCTGACCCTATTGAATGGCTTAATCTAGCTCCCAACTTCATCCATAATTCCTTTCTTTTCTGGCAATCTCCCCATTCAGTCTCTTACTTTCCAGCGAGGCCTTATTTCTTTTTTTTTTTTTTATTTATTAGAGAGAGAATGAGAGAGAGAGCGCAAGAGGGGGTAGGGTTAGAGGGAGAAGCAGACTCCCCGCCGAGCAGGGAGCCCGATGTGGGACTCGATCCTGGGACTCCGGGATCCTGACCTGAGCCGAAGGCAGTCGCTCAACCAACTGAGCCACCCAGGCGCCCGCGAGGCCTTATTTCTTAACAAAGGGCCTGAATGATGAGAATGCCTAAATTCAAATCCTGGCTCTTAAAAATCTGGTCAAGTCACTAATTTTCTGGGCCTCAGTGTACTCATCCATAAAAGACTGGTAACATCCATTAACAGATGAAGTTAAGTGACCAGCTCAAGTTAATACCCCCAGCTAGCAAAATTCAATGACTTTGTTTGAGTCTTACTACTGGGCTCTTTGATCCTGCTACATACTGGCAAATTAGAATAAGAATCAAAGGAGGAGGCTACCTGTTAAGATAGTCAAAAACAGCCAAAAGACAAATACATATGTGTCTTATTTTTCTTTTTCCTAAGTCTTCATAAAACAATAACCCCTTGATGTAAAAATCAAAGGGAAAAGAAAAAAGAAAAGAAAATCCTTAGCTTTCTACCTATTTTATAGCTTATTATTTATTTCCCAAACTAGAATTGAATCTTTTAAATGCATGATTAGCAACATGTATTTAAAAAAAAAAAAAAATCCAAGGGGTTTAATACAGCTGCCAGAATCAATCCAAAATGGGACACTGCATCATGGTGGGCATGATCACCACACAGAAAACAAGGACTTCTGGGGCACCTGGGTGGCTCAGTTGGTTAAGCGATCTACTCTTGATTTTGGCTCAGGTCATGATCTCAGAGTCATGAGATCAAGCTCCGCATCAGGCTCCATGCTGACAGTTGGAGCCTGCTTGGGATTCTCTTTCTTCCTCTCCCTCTGCCCCTCCTCCCTACTTGCACACACTCTCTCTCCATTAAAAAAAATTAATATGAAACGTCATTACAAAGACATCCAGTTTTCTTTTTAGATTTATTTATTTATTTGAGGGGGGAGGGGCAGTGGGATAGAGAATCCCAAGCAGACTCCACACCAAGCGCAGAGCCCAAAGCGGGGCTCGATCTCACAACCCAGAGATCATAGCCTGAGCAGAAACTGAGTCAGATGCTTAACCAAATGTGCCACCCAGGCATCCCAAAAAGAAATCCCAATTTTCTTAAGCTTTGTTAAAATTCCATTAAAATTAAAAATTAAATATATATCTAAATATTAATTTTTCTATTTCCACCTATAAATGAGTTGAGAAAGTAGCATCTACAATGAAAGGCATACAAAAAAAATCAATTGCTACTACAGTATTATATGATTTTATAGTTACTATTATCAGTACTGACTATATTATTTAGTTTATTTAATTTTTAAATTATGCTACCAGTAATACTTCTCAAAGACTAAGAAAATGTGGCTAGTCGTATAGTTTTGTTTAGTCAAAGGGACAGTATCAGAGAAACCCCTAAGAGCAACAACATTTAAATATTAGTTTGATAACTAAGTTATACAATCAAGACTTGCTAAGTGCCCATGAGACTTTAAAGTCTCGTTTCCAGGGTGCCTGGGTGGCTCAGTTGGTTAGGTGTCTGCCTTCTGCTCAGGTCATGATCTCAGGATCCTGGGATCAATCCCCATGTTGGCTCCCTGCTCATCAGGGAGTCTGCTTCTCCCTCTTCCCCACCCTTTGCCCCTCCTCCTATCATGTGTGCACGCATGCTCTCTCTCTCTCAAATAAAAAAATCTTAAAATATATATATATAGATACAGATATAGATATAGATATCTATATAGATTCCTTGGATGCCTGGGTGGCTCAGTCACTTAAGCATCTGCCTTCGGCTCAGGTCATGATCCCAGGGTCCTGGGACCTAGTCCCGCGTCGGGCTCCCTGCTCCGCGGAAAGCCTGCTTCTCTCTCTCCTGCTCCCCGGCTCCAGAGGAAGCCTCCCTCTCCCTCTGCTGAGTTCAGTTACCCCAGCGTTTCTCTACAGCAGACAGCACTGGGAGGAGCATCTTCCCGCGCATCTCCGTGCATCTGCCCACTGCTCCCCCTGCTTTTGGCCGCTCTCTCGCGCTCTCTCCGACAAATAGATAACATCTTTACAAAAAAATTCATTTCCAATGATAACCTTCTGTATAATTAATCTATACAAAATGCAAAATGTAATCCAATTTAGGTCTTTTCACCCAGGAAAACTTCTAGACCAAATTAATCTAGGATAAAAGAAATAAAATTCTACAAACTGATTCTACAATCTTTCTGCTACTTCCAGACACACTTCCAATTTGGCAAGTGTCAAAATTATAAAGCAGGAATGGCCAGCAGATAAAATAACCTTTTAAAAAATTTGAAGTAGAGGTGCCTGGCTCGCTCAGTTGGTACAACATGTGACTGTTAATCTTGGGGTCATGAATTTAAGCCCCATGTTGCGTGTAGAACTTACTTAAAAAAAATTGTTTCAAAATTAAAAGTTTATTTAATAAATAAATAAAAACTGGACTAGTACTGTCATGTGAAAGTAGGAAGAACAAATGTGACAGAAATACCACACACAGGGGCACCTGGCTGGCTCAGTCAGAAGAGCATGCAACTTTTGATCTTGGGGTTGTGAGTTCAAGCTCCACACTGGGTGTAGAGGTATGAAAGAGAGAAAGGGAGAAAGGGAGAAAGAGAGGAAGAGAGGAAGAGAGGAAGAAAGAAAAGAAAGGAAAGAAAGAAAGAAAGAAAACCTCCCCCCAACACCACACATACACACACACACGCACACACGTAAGCCGGAATCTTACTTACCTCATGGGCTAACATTTTATAGAGTTCTTCTCTAGTTACAGAAATCCTTTCTCTGTCTGTACTGTCCACAACAACTATTACAAACTAAAATAATTACAAAAAAATTAGTGATTATACAATTTGATATTTATAAAATTTACAGAGTACTTACTTGATTTATAGACCACAAATATCAAGAATTTAGAACCTCATGATATGGCATTATTGGAAAACCAAAGATACCTACTAAACATTGTGAAGCCTAAAGGTTTGATCCATTTCTAATTCAAATATTGTTTGCTAATTTTTAAGAGAAAATAAGAAAAAAGAATATGATGCTAACACTCTATTAGGATATTAATATTCTAACCAATATGTAACATGTTTGTTTTCTAAATTAATATCTTGAATGGTAATGAGACGATACCCATCTATGTGCACCCAAATCAGTATCAAAAAAATACATTATGATCCTAAATTTTAGATATTTCTACAGATATTATTTATTAATATCAATTTGAAACTCTAAAAGGGCATGATAATGGGAGTAATGTGACAGCTAAATCAATTTTTAAAAATCAACAAATTGAAAAAATAAATCCGTATCTAAAACCATGCTCTCTTCTTTATGTAAATGGTACCCGCTGTCTGCAAGCACAACTCTTTCCTGAACTGATGATGAGACTAGCGTCAGAAGATGCAATGAGACTCGTAAAGGAGCGGTGCAGTACTGAGCTCCACTGCACCTCTTCCTCATCTCTACGAGCACCAAAAACCACTAGGGAAACAGGAGCAGAAATGGTCACTTTATGTGGCACAGGTAATGCCATCAGGCTAACTTTGACTGCTTATAATTAACATGCACTATTTATTTTTTAGATCTAGCTTTTCATTTCCAGATAAACCACTGGTAATTTGCAGGGTCTTTTCTATTTTTCAGATTTCATTAACAATACGGCAGATGGCTGAGAACTGCTACTTTACCTCTACTCTCACTTGATACTTACTGATATGTGGCTTTATTACTATAAGACCGGTTCTATTCCAAGGCATTTTAATAAAACTGTTAATTTTTAAGATATTGTCATAAGTTTGATACCTGCAGCATTATACATAGACGTACTAGCCATATACACCTTCCCTTTTCCAAAAAACATGATCAAATGCTTAGCGAAGTTTTAGGGGATCAACTCATTAGAGACACTTAATAGTGTCTTAATAACATAATATTCATCTTTATATACATTTGGAGTTTTATTACCTTATAATCACCACTACAAAAATGACTGTCACAGCCTTTCAATTTATAAAATCGGTACAATGAAGCTCTCAAACGTCATAGGTCTGAAATTTCCTCTTGGGAAATAACATGTAAATAAAAACATATGATTATGTCTAAATTGCTTTATAACCAAGAAGAAAAAGAATTCTTTTATGTGCAATTGTGCTACATTAAAGAACATACATAGTAAAAGTTTGGCCAGGATTCAATCCTCCAGGACCCTCTCATTTAACTAGGATTTTCTCTATGCCTACAAAAATAAATAGTAAGAGAGAAATGAAATGACAAACTATGAGATGGAACTCACTATAAAAACAACTACTTAAGACAAGTTGTGGGATCAATACATAATCAGACTAATCAATTACTCCCTCATTCCAATTCCCCCTACAGAGGTTCAATGACAGTAGTTACACAATGACACCGAAAGAGGGAATCAAAGATTCCACTATGTTTAAACTCTACTTTTATTAACATACTGGGCTATTTCAAAAAGATTAACTATAAGAGTTCACATCGAGAAGATGTTTCCCAAGCATTCTATTCATAGAAGTTTTAGTATATTAAGAAACATTACCTCTGTGTTAGTATAGTAAGTGTTCCAAGAAGAACGAAGAGATTCTTGGCCACCAATATCCCACATTAGAAAACGTGTATTATTAATCACGATTTCTTCTACATTACTTCCTATTGTAGGTGATGTATGTACAACTTCATTCATAGAACTGGGGGGAAAAAAGTTCAAATATATTACAATTAGCAAGGAAGCAAGATTGTTTGAGCATTTTTCAATTAAGGGATAAATCAGCATGAGTTTTTTTTTTGTTTTTTTTTAAAGATTTTATTTATTTATTTGACAGAGACAGAGACAGCGAGAGCAGGAACACAAGCAGGGGGAGTGGGAGAGAGAGAAGCAGGCTTCCTGCTGAGCCGGGAGCCTGATGTGGGACTCGATCCCAGGACCCTGGGATCATGACCTGAGCCGAAGGCAGTTGCTCAACCAACTGAGCCACCCAGGCGCCCATCAGCATGAGTTTTTATATTCATACCCAAATGGCCCTTTCTGCTAGCTCGTAAGAGTGAGTTAAGGGTTTAAAGAGAGCTGGGACTAGGTAGTGAACTATCTTAAATACTCTAGATTCATTCCCAGAACCAAATAAACAGTATTTCTCTACTTTCTACAAGCAAAAAAAAGTGAGCATGCTCTATGTCATATAAATTCCTAGTTCTCTTGAAACAGTTGCTTAAATCTGGCTCCTGGTTTATAGTCAACCTGTCTTCTTACAGAATAATTTAGTTTCCATATAATTTTTTTATTGCTTTTGTTAATCAAGTTATCACCCAGGCAGAAAAAATAACTGTGAACAATTAAAAAAAAATTTAAAGTAGTTAATACTTACAATTGGTAAAGGATGGTAGTTTTCCCTGCATTATCCAGCCCAACAATGATAACTTTGTGCTCTGAAATAAAAAAAACACCAGCATTTAATTAAAAACAAAAATTTCTAAATTTCCTATTTTATCCATTCTTTCCAGCTATGTTATAGTTCAGTGCATGGCACTTTTTACTTTTTTGGAACTCGAAAGAATATCCTATCAAGACCTGCAGAAGTGTGCCATTAATTTCACCTTCCCACCCTCTCATTCTACACAGAGAACTCTCACCTTTTTAGGAAGTCAGAAACACTATATTCTTTCTAGTCTATGGAAGTCTACTCTCACTAAAGTATCCCAAATGTAACCACAATTTAAAAATGACTTAAAGTGTAAATGTTTCACACTAGACTAGGGCATTTAAGTTCTAACTGTGAAATTTAGGCATCAACTGGATAAAGTGGAATAAATGAGAAGGAAAAAAAGGTCAGCCTTTAAATCTGGTAGCAGAAGGCCAGGTCCCATCATAGGTGATCGAAACTATCTGAGTACATTTAATACAGCTGTTCTAACATAACAACCAAATCTAAGGATGTATGGTTATGGTGGCAGTGACCCACCGCCCCCACCTTGGCCTCTATGGCACCACTTTCTCTAAGTTCTCTTCCTCCATCTCTTGATATTTTTTTCCCCACTGACTCCTCTTCCTGGGTCTTCCTTCAAAAACAACTGTTTCCCAGAGCTGTCTTCTTGCATTCTCTTCACATTTTATCAAGGCATTCTTAGGATCCATCTATTTCTATGCTATCCAAAAACTATTCCAAAGATAGCAGTGTGTGGAAGAAGCTCATTTCCAAAGATGGCCTCTGGATACTCATGTCCCCCTATAGTCTTCCCTTGCTCCTGACCCCCTGTGAACCTCAGGGGTCCTATGACTCACTTTTTTTTTTTTTTGTGGATATATTAATTGTTCTTTTTTTTATTATATGTTAATCACCATACATTACATCATTAGTTGATGTAGTGTTCCATGATTCATTGTTTGCATAGAACACTCAGTGCTCCATTCAGTACGTGCCCTCTTTAACACTCATCACCAGGCTAACCCATCCCCCCACCCCCCTATCTATGACTCACTTTTAACCAACAGAATATAACTGAAGTGATGCTGCATGACTTCCAAGCCTAGATCATTACAAACCTTGCAGCTGCTGCCTGGCTCTTTTGGACAACTCTCCTTGGAGTAAACCAGACACCATGTAACAAGTCCTACTATCCCAAAACCATTATATAGATGAGTGAGAAAGCCTAGACTAATTGTGTGGTCTGACCTTGTGGGGAGAGATCACCCCATGGTTGCCCCTAGCTTTTCCAGCCATCCCAGCTGAGACACCAGACACACAAATAAAGCAGCCATCTTGGATATGCAGCCAGGTCAAGCTATAGATGACTCTAGTTCTAGCTGCCAACTGCAACCAAATGAGAATCCCAAGCTAGAACTTCCTAGCTGAGCTCAGTCAAATCACAGAACCATGAGAAATAATTAAAAATTATTGCTTTAAGTCACAACATTTAGGAGTGCTTTGTTACACAGCAGTAGATAACACAAGCACTATGGAAAAATATCTATAATTATGTGACCTTGGGCAGATAACTTATTTCTCTAACCCTAAGTTTCCTCACTATAAAACAGGGAGGGACAACAATACCTATCTTTCAGGGTTGTACAATGATTAAGATAGCACATGAGTAGTGCCAACCACCAAGAGAGAGAGTTCCTAATCCATGTTCCCAAATCTCTCCTAAACTCCAATCTATCTAGTGGACAGACACAGTGCCACTCAACATATCCAAAACCCAACATTCAAATCTTTTTCTAAATCTATCATACCTAATTTGCTTAATGACATTACAACGAATTCAGATGCCCCTGGAATTTATTGTTTTTCCCTCAACCCCAACATCTAATTTGTCACCAAGTTCTATGTATTCCCCCTCAAAAATATATCCTGAACCTGCCTCCTTCTGACTGTCCTAGTTGTAGTCCTTCTCATTTCTTACTGTAAAACCTTCCCTAGGTGGACTGTCTCCAATCCACCTTTCTACTGTTTCTACAGTAATTGTTCTACACTACAAAGCTGGTTAACACCACTCTTAGTTAAATGATGGCTCTGCGGGATGCCTGGGTGGCTCAGTCAGTTGAAGTGCCTGACTCTTGATTTCAGCTCAGGTCATGATCTCAGGGTCGTGAGACTGAGCCCCATGTGGAGCCTGTTTCATGCTTAAGATTCTCTCTCTCCTCTGCCACCGCCCCCCCCCCAAACTTGGGCATGCCCTCTCTTCTTCTCTCTAAAAAATAAATAAATAAAAAATAAATGACAGTTCTCCATTTTGACAGGAAGACAAGACACAGGTTTTCAGCCTAGTAAATAAAGACAGCCATAACTGACCAGGCTTCAGCTTTATCTCTCACCACTACCAGCAGGTGTCTAAGCTGAAATTCAAGCCATTCTCCCCACATGAGCCACATATCTTCACAGCAAACATTTTTCTACCTCTACTCAGTTTTTCCTTGAGCTGGAATTATCTTCTCCAATTCTCCATTTAGGGAATTTCTACTAATCTTTTAAATTTAGTTTTCCCCCCAAAATCACTTTCTCATGCTTTTCCACAATACCTCTAACATAGCACTTATCATAATTATTTACACATACACTAATCTTCAAAGCTTAATGAGGCACCCTTCCAGTGTATAGATCACATGCTAATCATCTTCATAATCCCAGTAACTACAACTGTTCCTGGCACAAGGTACTCAATAAATGTTGAATTAATTCATATTTACCCTATAAATAATGAGGATTATAAATATAAATAATAAATAAACTGAGGATTATAACACGTCACAGTAAGGATATCTTTAAGAAAAGCCTTTTCAATCGGATGGTAGAGGTTTTCCAAATAGTTGTCATTTACCCTGGAGGGGAATACCTATTATACAAAAATAGGAAGATCAAGTAAATAGAAAATTTTAATACAATCCATTTTATCCAATCACTCATCTCTTTGAAGGGCAAGCAGCTTAAAACCACTAGGGTTCTAAAGAGACATGACCACATTTTCCCCATATAGGTTCTTAAAAATAATTTTAAAGATGCAGGGCCCACTCTTTAATCTTTAGGGATGACTAGGGTAAAGGAACTGAGAAAATGATCAAATACAAAGATGATACTTATTTTAAATAAAGGGTTAATAACATATAGAGGGCATGCTAAGGTAAGTTCAGTTGAATGACCACCAAAAGGCCTCACTGGGTGACATTTCTCTGGTAATTTGCCTAGTGTATGGCCCTTCATCTCCTAGGTCCACAAACTCAATCCTGCTACTCAGAGTAGACAGGACTCACAGAAGGCAATTCACAGAAGTGACTAATATGTAAACAAGAATGCCAAAATGAGTAACATACAATGAGACCAAATGTTCACAACTACCTGACAGTGCAGTCTAAGGAAGAGTAATAGGGTGGCTGAATTAAAATTGGTTTACTTGGAGAACACAGAATCCCATCAAAGGCAGTTATTTTATAGGCTGTAGTGACTGGGTAAGTCCATCTTCACATTAGGGCCATACCTGCATTAGGGCCAGACTATTGAATTCTTTAAGCAAGGCATCTTTTCACCTGGAAAGTTTTGCTTTTTTTTTTTTTTTAAGATTTATTTATTTTAGACAGAGCGAGCAAGCGAGCAAGTGCACAGGGGGGTGGGGGCAGAGGGAGAGGGAGAGGGAGAGAAAGAATCCTCAAGCAGAGTCCCTGCTGAACACAAAGCCCAATGCAGAGCTCGATCTCATGTTCTCACAACCCTGAAATCATGACCTGTGCTCAAATCAAGAGCTGCATGCTTAACAGACGGAGCCACCCAGGTGCCCCGCACCTGCAGTTTTCCAATGGCATGGCAGTTTTGCCTCTTTAACTCTATTTTTCTATGTCCCCACGTTAAGCATTCTTCTTTTGATGGCATATCTCTTCTTCAGTTCTATTAATACAAGCACCTATAGACATTTTAATTAGGCAGAATTCACATCATGCTATACCCTGATCTCTGACTTGGATAAAAGTTTTTTGCTTCCTACTTGAATACTAATTTTTGATAATATCACTCTCAGGGGCACTCAGTGGGAGTCTGTTTGGGATTCTCTCCCTCTGCCCCTCCCCCATGCTCTCTCTCTCTCTCAAATAAATAAATTTTTAAAAAATATATCATTCTCAAAATGTCAGCTATTTTTAGTTTCAGGAATACCATTTTGTAACCCCCTTTGTATTGTATTAGCTACAGGACTAAATTTAGACAGACTTGCCAACACTCAGAAAGAAAATACAATTACTCTGACCAATGTGAGAAATACCATTCTAGGGACGCCTGGGTGGCTCAGTCGGTTAAGCTTCTGCCTTCAGCTCAGGTCGTGATCCCAGAGTCCTGGGATCAAGCCCCGCTTCTCCCTCTGCCTGCCGCCCCCCCTACTTGTGCTCTCTCTCTCTGACAAACAAATAAGTAAAATCTTAAAAAAAAAATACCTTTCTAAAAACAGTACAAAATTAATAGGAGCAAAAACAAATGATACAAATATAGGCAAGAATCTATGATAAATAACTATAAAGAATGACTAAAAGTGTGTGTGTACAAATTAACACAGAGACCCCAAATACAAACAAAAGCATTGTCTCTTACAAAGTCCTTAGTCACTTAAAGAGGTTAAACTTTTATTCTAACCATGCGACCATTTTTCAAAGTATTCTGCTACTCTTCTTTTGTAACTGCTTTCAGAGCCTGAGGTACACTGTTTTGGAGCATTCCCAATGGTGGCAGAACCCTTTAACTGCTGAAGATGATTTTGATTTTAAAGGGAGACAAGAGCCACTTGATATTATCTCAGCCATAACGAAGTAAAAGATAGCTAAAATGAGTGCTATCTTTTTGCTGTTAAATGAGGTATGATCCCTAAATGATAATGATTTAAAGATTTGTCTCGAAGGAAATTCTAAAAGGAGTTTCAATATGTATTTTGAGTAATAGCAGACATAGCAGTGG